TTGACTTAACAAAACGCCATAGCAATTTTTTTACCCATGCATTTGTTGATTTAACAAAACACTATAGCAATTTTTTTACCCTTGCGATAAGTAAGGGTATTGCAACCGGGTAGTAGACTTTTTTCCCCGTAAACAACTTTGTCCACAGAATTCGCACGTGAATTCGTTCGCACGTGTTTTACTGCAGAGGTAAATATAGTATTTGCATGTTAGGTATGGGCCTTGTTTGGCCATTATGAGTTCCTTTAATAGTAATTTTTGTGCCAACATTTGTCCAAAAATTTCGGTTCTTTTTCTGCACTTGAGTATCGGCTTTATTTCCGTCGGCTCATTTTGCGAATATTTTTTGCAATTACTTTTTGTTGGTTTTCATAAGTATCATTGAAGTCTTTCAAAATGTTTTGGACAAATCTTAATCACATTCCCAGAGCCTTCCTAAAAAAGTGAAATTTTTAAAAATATAAAAAGAAATCAAAAATGATCGATTTTTTTTCGAAATTTTTTAAAATAGGTTTTCAAATTTTGTTTGTATTTGTTTTCAGTTTGCACAATAACTTTGGTTTTTAACCTTTTATGCTTTTGTTTGTTCGATCAGCTGTTTTTATTCTATATATTTTTTTGGTGTAGGTATCATTTTTCCCATTTTAGATCGCTAATTAAAAATAATAAATAATTTTTTCTCACGTTGAGTTAATTTTGAGCTGTTTTCGGACTACTTTTTCTAAAGAATAGTTCAATTATATCTTTTTCTTAAATGTTTGGTAATTTTTTTTCTGTTTGATTTTTTGGTAAAACGTTTTTTCTGTCTTGTTGTTCTTGTCTGATCGGATTTTCAATTTTTTTTGATAAATGAATATTTGCGTTTTTTTTTGGCTTCATAGCTATTCAAAATTATTTGTTTTTTTTTTGTAAACAGTTTCTTGTTCTAGTTATTGTGTTTTTTAATGCTTCATTTGTTTTTTTTTCTTATCTTTTTCTGTTGAACTAATAAAATTAATTTTAAAGAGTTTGAATTGTTTTTCGAAAGTGTTTGCGAAATTTCTCATTGTCACTGATGTTTTGTTTTTTAGTATCGTGTTCATGTTTTTCAGATCACGTTTGTTGTTTTTCTAATCTAGTTTGTCTAGGCTTCTGAAAAATTGAATAACATTGTTCGGTTTTATGTCTTTCATTTGCTTATTTAAAAAGTAAACCAGAGTTAGTAGTTTTTGGCAATTTTTTCTTTACTTACAATTTTTACATAGCAAGTGATGCGAAGCTCTGCTTCGCCTCTGTGTATAAAATAATGGCGATACAATTGTGATAGTCTATCTTCTAAAGAATTTTATACGAGTGTTTTAGCTCAAAAAATTGTGTCACTGTCGATCCACCTAGGCACTGTTTCAAAAATAGTAACAGTTTAGGACGAAACATCGACTAGTAATTCTAAACAACTCAGAGTAGATTTGACAGGCTTTGGAAACAAGATGGATTTATTTTTACAATCACCCGTGGACTTTACATTAATTTTCTCACATAGGATTTACTGTATCAAATCAAAAAAATATATTAAGAAATCTTGGTATTCTGTTAAAAATACAATTTTTTAAACCGATTTTGGCAAAGCTTTTCATCTGCTACTTTAGTAAATTTCTTCCTCCTTCATAACGTGTCTATAACATGCTAACACATATTTAAGGTGGTATTTGAAGATCGAATGTGTGTGGTATTCCGGTTTTTGCTGTTCTGCCAAATTTAAAACATCACGACTAGGTGATCAAAAAATTGCTTATAGAAAAGACAGGTCGGTAAAGTACCATGATTAAACTCGACTGAAGTGTAATTTTGATATGATAGATCTGACGTACAGAATGGATTCAATAAAGGAGGACAATTTGGTTCTGAAGTCTGAAAATCAAGTGTTGAGTCAGTACATAGAAGACGTAATGAAAGCATCGTCATCATTCCAGCAAACATCGCCCAAATCTCGAAAGAGGTTTGTAATATTTTTTGAATTGAAGAAGTAAATTTTTTGCAAAGAAAGCGTTACAAATTGCTTCAAAGTTTTTTGCTTTTTCCACACGCAAAATCAGGTACCAAAAATGATCATCGGAATGATTCGAGTGATATGTGTTTAGGAAAATGGAATGGGCTGAGTGAATTTTTTGAGAGAAACCCGTTTGAAATTTTTAGTTTGTAGTCTTTTGTCGAGTGAATAAAGCCACCGAGCAGGAGCTTAACAAGGTAATAAGTTTTTATTTTAGCCGCAAAATCAGGTAACACAAATGAGCATCAGAATGAGTTGAGTGATGTGTGTCGGTAAAATCCAAATGGATTGAGTGAATTCTTCGAGAAAAACTAGTTTGAAGTTTTCAATTTTTAGTCCATTTTTGAGTCAATAAAGCGAGCGAGCAAGCTCAGAATAAGGCAGTGAGCCTTTTCATGGCGCGAAATCAGGTAACACAAATTATCATAGGATAGGGTTGAGTGATATATCATGTTAAAGCCCTTCATATTGCGATTCGATGATAATCAGAAAAGTTCCAAAAGAAATCTCTTATTATTTTTGTCTAAATTTTCGTGCGCTGACATGCTGAATTAGTCGTAATTTTATTTATACTACCTGCGTTACTTTTTTTTCCATATATGCCTTATCTCATATAAGACGCCCTATTAAACCTGTATGGAATGTTAGGTTTTAGAAATTATCAAAATTCTTGGTTTTCTGTCAGCTCAGTCACCGACGTTTTTATTTCAATTGCCAATATAATAAAATCTATTTCCAGCTCAGTTATTATTATGGGTTTAGGCTCATTTATACCCGCTGATAAGTAGGCGATTGATAAATATGTGGATAAAAGTAATTAGTTACACTACACTAGCCAGAGCAAGTGTGCTGTAATCGGGGAAAAAGACTTCCCATAAGCAATTGTTCTTGCAAATCTTACTTTCTGTTTTAATTGCTTTATCAATGAATCTTTTAAACCTCCAGGATTTTTCCACTGGGCTTAGAGGTAAAGTGGTTGTCTTTGCACCCTAAGGTCTGCGGTTGGAGTCCCGGTCAGACGTTGTTTTTTTTCAGTAAAAATGAAATAGTCCTTTTTTCGTCTATCTGGTCAAGCTTTTCGTGTTATTTGCCACATCACGTGTTTTTCATTTGGTATGAGCTTTTTACATTGTAGTTGCAAGTTTTGTTCATTATTGTTTCAAGGGGGATATGAAAGTTTTTTTGTATAAAATCATTTTTTTTCGGCTCAAGTGATGTCTGCTTAAAGATTGTCGGTTTTTTTCGTTTTTTATGTTTTGTTTCGTTGCTTATTTAGTATTCAAGCTTTTTGCCTGGCATGTTTGCCTAGAATAAACTTTAACCGAGTCATACGAAAGCTTTGGTAGAACTTGTTTTTTTTCATTTTTGGACTGATGTTTTTTATGAAAGAGATAGTGTTGTATCAAAGAGATGCGAAGCTCCGCTTTGCCTCTGAATAAAATGAGTCGTGTTTTTTTTTCATAATGTGATATATGGCAAATTATCCTGTTTTAAATGTTCGCTTTTTTGAAATTTTAATTCCTTTCGTGTTTTTTATGTATATTAACACAATCAACGTAGTATTCAGCAAATCTTCGAAACATTCTTTGTCATTCAAAAATTAGGATTTACATTTCATATAAGTTATTTACTTTTATACTTGTTGTTTTACTTTTATTTGAGTGGAAATTGTTTTTTTTTACCCTTGCCGGCTTATAGTTATAGTTGTCAATGAGAAGACGGCTTCTTACTGTCTTAGAACTCTGATTGATGTATTTCAGATCAAGAAGTGGGAAAAGATGAGAATGAAACGATAGACTAGCTTGCAGTTGTTCTATTGAAATGCAATAATTGAAGGTGAAAAGCCTGACCAGTCGTGCTACTTATCGTAAATTTAGCAATGCCTATTTAGAAATGTCAATAAATTTTTATCTGGTGATGAAGTTATCTTGATGATGCATAGCATGTTTAAAATATTTATTTTGAAATTTACTTTTTGCGTTGACCCAGATTTCTGGAAATTATTTTCATGGAAACAAGCGGTATTCATTGCAAAAAATCCACAATTTATCTTGTTTGAGACGAATCTTGTTTGAGTTATTGATGAGGACGAATTTGTGGTCAGATGTGTTTTAAGTTCCAATAAACGTTGTGATGACACTTACATAAGTCAAATTATTTTTTTTTCGTTTTTTATGGGAACATTTGATTTTTTTGCGGTTGGATTTTATTTATTTTTAAAATTTCAATTCATTTCATTTTCTTAAAGGAATACCAATTCCGCTCTCGAATATCAAATGCGAAAATTGTGGTTGACTACTAGTTTCAAAAATGGATTATTTTTTCGAAAATTTTCAGCAGGAAAGAAAAATGATCTGTCAATCCATTTCTCTCAAATTCGAGTGTTTCAATAAATATGTCAATCATAAATTATTCATGAAATTCAAAGAGCGTTAAGGTGATATATGTTATGATTTGAAAATTTTTCATTACAAAGGCAATCTTTTTTCTCTCTTTGAACTCATGGACTCTCTTTCAACTGTCTGTTGGCTAGGTTTTCTCTGCAAAGTATAAGTATATGAAAAACGTAGTTGGAATAGGTATTTTGGAAAACCAGATAAAAGATCTACCGACCCAAAGGTCCCCCCTACTATTTTGAGATATCCATGTTTGGTGACGGACCCTAAAAATTTTCTAAAGGCGCCTTGCCAATATATACTATTTTGAGGGGGTAGTGCGCGCCTACAAAAAACATTTTTTTGGTCAACACCTTTTTTGGCCCGTATTTTCCTGCGGCGCAGAAAATTTGGCCAAAACAGGGTCTTTTAGTGCATTGGTTGAGCTCGGAAAATCAGTTTGGTCGACCTAAAAAAAGGTCGACAAAATTTTCAATTTTTTTTTGAAAATCAGCCCCCTCGAAAAAGTCGTAGATCCGCCCTTGCTATCACATACCCTTACTGAATTGAACTGGCCAAATCTGGCAAATTTCAGGTCAGCGCAATGAAATTACATGGCTATGATTTCTGGGAACAAGTATTGAAAAGCCCTAAGTACATTTTGGCCCCTATGGTCGATCAAAGTGAACTACCTTGGAGAATTCTAAGTCGCAGGTATGGTGCCCAGGTCACGTACACCCCTATGTATAACTCTGCAGTGTTTTTGATAGACGAAACTTACAGAAACAAACTATTTCAAACAGAAGACAGCGATCGACCGTTAGTTGTGCAGTTCTGTGGTAATGATCCTCAAACAGTTCTAAAAGCGGCTTTGATGGTAGAAAACTGTTGCGATGCGATAGATTTGAATCTCGGCTGTCCTCAAAATGTGGCTAAGCGAGGAAAATATGGCGCATTTTTAGACGACTGGGACGTTATTTTCAAAATAGTACGAAGTCTACATGACAACTTGAAGTCTATTCCAGTGACCGCGAAGTTTAGAGTGTTCGACTGTGTTGAGAAAACATGTAAATATGCACAGATGTTGGAGGAAGCTGGAGCGGCTGTTTTGACCGTGCATGGGCGAACACGGGAACAGAAAGGACCCATGAGCGGATTGGCCGATTGGGAAAAGATAGCAGCTATTAAGGTAGAGAAAAATCTGGTTGAAAATATATATCAATTTGCTTTTCTGAAAGCAGACTTTACAGTAAGCTTTTTTTTTTGCAGAGTGGAAAGAATTGGACTTTGATAGATATTTAGTGTTGATGTGTTTTATCTTATCGCATGATTGATTCAAGGTTCAGTCCTGAGTATCATTGTTTTGTGTATCAAGCAAATTAAATAAATATTTTAATCAATCGCAGTAATATGGTCATTAATCTTCAAGGCGTATTGTGAAATCTGTGTAATTAGTAAAGAAGTTTAAGATTTTTAAAGTATGCTTTGAAGAAAAAAAGTACCTTCAGGGTACTTAAAGATTCTTCATCAAGGAACCTTTTGATATCTTCACGACCAGTTCAATCACGACTGCTAGTCCTCCATTTCCAAATAAATGGGTTGTTTCAAAATCTGCATGTCCTGTTTCAGAAATGTGTCAAAGTTCCAGTGGTAGCCAACGGCAATATTCTATGCTTCAAAGACATCGAGCGATGTCTGAGGGAGACTAAAGTGGATGCAGTGATGTCCGCAGAAGGTAATCTACACAATCCAGCACTATTTGCTCCCAACTGCAAACTGAAAGTGACAGATGCTATTTCCGAATATCTAGAATTGTGTCATACATTTCCAACCTCAATGTCTTTCATCAGGGCACACATATTTAAGATGTGTTACCATATTTTGCAGTTTGAGAAGTTTCTGTTTTTGCGCGAAATAATTACGGAGATGAAAACGTTAGAAGACGTAGAAAAATTAAACGAGACTTTAAAGCGAGCTTTGAGTGAAAATGAAGAATTTGTACTTGAGATGACAGGCGACATGCAGTTATCTATAATGTATTGCCAAGCAAGAGTCAGAAGCTCGGGTGAGAGCAAAGACAACTATCCTAAAATAAGGACGAATCAGTTCTCTCGAGAGGATCGGAAACGGACTCTAGCCCAAATCCAATCCGAGCACGGAGGATGTTCGCTTAGACAGGCGAAGCAACTGATGCGAAATCCAGAGAAAGGGTTCCAGAAAAGCAATCGGCCTTGGCTCCATTGTATGTGCAGACAACCTAAAAGCAAAGGCTGTGCTCATGAAATGTGTAAAATTTGTTGTCGGAAGTTATGTCTGGAGAAGAAAGTTGGCTGCGAGCAGCATAAAATGAGAAAAATCGAAGCAACTCGAAGTGAACCTTCTGAAATTAAGTTGGGCTGAATATTTGGCACGATTTAAGAAAAAGTATTGCTGTTCAGAAAAACCGCGAACGGGTTGCAGGTGGTTTGATGAACGACGACCAAGTTATGGTAGAATAACTTTTTTGTTATCGTGCCTTAGAAGAGCGTTTATAGAGAATATAAACAGATTATTTTATACCCATGTATATTTTTGTAAATTAATTTTGAAAGTCTTCCTTTCTGATCTTGTCATTAAATTGTATGTCATTAGGTTATAATTCTTCTTTAAGAATATTTAAGTTTATAAGGCAAGAATAGAAGAGTATTTCCATCAATCGAAACGATATATTAAACAAGGATAGCCCGTTAATGTACAAAAAGCCCACGACCATAGTCTTTAAAAATTACAAAACAGAAAGTGTAGTTTTTTCTGCGTGTTGTGATAAAAGGATCTGACTTAAAATTCTAATTTAGGTATATTCGACAGTCATAGTAATATAGGCAAATTGGACAAGAATGTTTGTAGAAAAATGACTAGAAAAACAAAAACATATTGAAAATTTGAACTTCAGTTTTGCAGAATTGTTTTGAAGTTTTTGGTTTCCTAAAGGGAGCTAATGAGATCCAAAAACTAGTTTTGTTTGCTTAAAACTAAGTTTTTAGGGCTTAAATTAGGCACAATTAAACTGTTTTAAACCTGCTCGCTTGCTTTATTCGCTCGAGTTAAGACGAAAAAATTCAAACCGGTTTTTCTCGACACTGGGAAATTTTTTTGGAAGTTTTTTAATACCGATCGAATTACGATTGAAAGGGCATTAATATGATATATCACTTGTTGATAGTTGCTCAAAAATGATATATCACTGAAAACTACGATGATAATTTGTGGTAGCTGATTTTAAAATCTCTTCTCTCTCTTTCTCTTGGTTCCTAAAAATTTTTTTTGAAAACAGACACTTTTTGTTGCGATCATTTAAAAAATGGGGAAGAACTTTGTATTCGGGTGTGTTTTCGTTTTTCTTCTTTTTTGGTTTCCACGCAAAAAGTTCCTCCCCATTTTTCAAATAGTCGCAACAAAAAGTGTCTTTTTTCAAAATTTTACTTCAGGAAACAAGAGAAAGAAATAAACCATCCATTGAAATGAGAAGCTAATAACTGAATATAATTAAGCGGATTCTTGCTTTTAGTCATTGTGTAAATTATGTCGTTTCCGTTCAGCTATAAAGTTACCGCCTTTCAATCGTCGGTTTTCTGGGGGGGGGGAGAGAAAGCGTGCAATGTTGATTAAAGAGTTCGAGATTTTATGGCAATGTTTTCAGATAAGTTCCATTAATTTCTACTCTGTTGCAATGGTGAAGCCGAGAGCTGATGTGAATTTGGGCGTAGGTGCAAATATGGGAGTGTCTTCGGATGACTTGACAGCGGACTCCAAGTTTGAATTCGACTGCCAAGACGGATCACTCAGTCGCGGCAGCAACGACTTCACCGCCGCCGTTCACATGAACGAGGCTACCACCGAGAAAGTCATGCACCAGGACTTCAAAAATGGTAGACGTACTTTCATAATTTGAAGTGTAACTCGACTTGAAGTTGATGTCAGTAGAAGAAAGTAGATTGAGCTATCATTCTCAATTATTGCCCATTTTTTAAATTAATTAATTAATTTGATTCTTTTTTTTTGCTTTAAAAACCGGATATTTTTCTGTTTAGATTTTGGAGATTTATTTGATGACGACGATTTCTAAATCGATATTGACTCTCCGTGTTACAAAGGAATTGAATTAATGATAAGCGTGAGCAAAATGTTGCTCGATTTATATATATTTTTTCCAATTAGGTGTTCTTATATTTAGGTTACTTTATGATATTCATCATGATTTTTTTCAAGTTCTCTAACATAATTGCAATTAAGAAACGGTCTTCCAATGAAGTTAATTAAACCAACTGGTTTTTCAGATAAGTCATTGTAGTGAATCTTAGCTGATCACGGCAAAATATGTCCTTGAAAGCATTGGTATCTAAGCGTCTCTGGGACGTGAAGGTGATTGAATTACCGAAATGGGTAGTCCACAACTACCTCAGAAGAGATCCGGCCAATGTGGCATACGAAATCAGTTCCAAGTACTTCGGTCGAGTAATGAACAGACAGCGATTTACTTATGTCTTGTTCACTATGACTCTCATGGTCTATTTCCTAGAATCCTACCCACACTGGAAGAAGTATGACCTCAACAGGAAGTTCCACTAATGAACTAGAATTGACTATGTATTACTATGAACATGAATAACGGATGATACTCGATTTAACACTTCGATAACCCACGAACTGCTAACCTTGACTATTGGTATAAACACAGCGTAAATAGACAATTTATTTACCTGGATATTCGTCCTTTTCTCCACTTTTTAAGTTGGTCTGAGATAATTGGAATCTGCAGTTCTGAGAGATACTATATTGAAAGAAAATTTTAAAGCTGGCTCACAGGAGTGGAGGCAAGGTTTTGTCAATGTTTTTCAAACCCTGCGACCATTTCACCAGCCCCGTGAAGCAATTTGGTACTTCCGTGAAGCATTTTAGATCGATTTCGACAACCGTTAACGCATGGGCGCTTTGTTGCTGAGGGATTGCTGTGTTTCAAAAAAAGCCCAATAAATGTGGGGTTAAGTAGTGAAAACCAAAAACGGGCTAAAAAGGCAGTGCGATAAAAAAAAAGCGGGCGAAAAACTTCAGGGTATTAAGATGGGGGTAAAATGATCAAAGTGAAAAAAATGCTCGCTCAACTTAAGTCGTACCGATTACGAAAAATAGACGAAAATCAATCTTGATAAAAAGTTTAGCTTGCTGTTAGTAATGATAGTGTTTGGAAACCGGTTATTACACAAGGAAGCTTGTGTTATAGTATGAACTTTCTTTTTTTTTCAACCTCAGTCGCAAATAATGTTGCGACCAAATGTTTTCATTTTGATCCAGCTATTAAGTACAGCCAATGCTAAGGCTATTAACACAGACTATTATGTTACAAATAGCACTTTAGCTTCAAGGTATCATGGAAATGTAGCGTAGAGGTAAGGAAGGAGACCAGCTCAAAATACGAGGGTTCGAACCTGGGCAGGTTCGGATGTTTTTAATGAACTTTTTCGTATACTAGTTAAAATGCGTCCGCTCAATAAATTGAAGCATGTTAGTTGGTAAATTTCTTTTTTTTCAAATTGACTGGTACTGCTAATCCGTCATAATTGGCTTGCGTCACGTAGCACTTTTGTAGACTCATGGGCATCATAATTGGCATGCGCATCAAATGAATTCGAAGAAGTGATGCATTTTTGAGTCATCAAATGAACCGAAAGAAAAGATTTATTTCAAAAAATAACAATAATAAGAACTCGATTTCAGAAATTTTCCTAATACGTTGCAATATTGTTCAAACAGCAAAATAGTGAATACGAAGAATACGAATTAGTGTCAATACGAAAGATAGATCCGGTTATCGCCACGATACTGGCCTAGCGCGCCTACCGGTGACATTAAACAGGCACTCGCCTTTTTAGTCTTTGACTGCTTCATGACAACGCCTAATGGGGAACAAATAGGGGGGTTCCTGCTAGAATAAAAAACACAAAGTATCAAAAATTTCGCATAATATAATTAATTTTTTATCGCCTAATTTAGTTTTCTCCTAATATATACAACCCCCTGAAACTGATCTAGCTTGCGATAAACTCTCTAATTGCAGAAATATTTGACACGTCGAATTGCGCTACTTATTATCTGGAGTTTAGGAGGTTGGACGACAAGCAAATTAGACAATCAGAATTTAACGGAATTTAGACAACAAATTGCGTGAAATTTGTTTACAGACTTAAATTAACTTTTGTTTGAGTAAACACTGGTTCTCCAACAACAAATCAGGTTATTAATGTCACTGTTGTTTAACTTATGCATTTCAAAAATGTACTATACCTTTTTGATTTAATTTTTTGTAATTTATTTACAATAATAAATTTGATCAGTTCTTTAATATTATACTCTTTTTGTTTTTGTGTAATTTCATTATAAACAAAAATTTTTGATTGCCGAAGTTCTGATCGTCTAAATTCACGAAAAGTTAGCGTCTAAAATAAGTTATTTTACAGTCATCCAATTTGCTTGTCGTCTGATGTCCTAGGCCCCCAATATCTAAATTGAAAATGGCTTGAAAATTGCCGCTTGGTTTTATTTGAAACGTTTTCTAGATTGTTCTTCAGATTAAAAATTTTTGTAGATCAAGTTTTTTCAATATGTGCAAGTTTCCAATGACAAACGTGCAATTGCAAAATCAGTGGTTTTGGTTAGCTTGTGGTTGAATAGTCGGTTGGCTGTTTCTAAATAAGCGTGTCAGAAAAAATATTCGATACTTTTTCTTTATGGGCCTAACGAAACAAAACTCACTGCATAGAAGCCATACTTTTTAGATTCATTTTGAGGTTCTAATAGCACAGAGAATATCATGCCTTAGTCTGCATTTCTCTGATATCTGTTTTTTGAGACATGGTCAAAAGTTTTTTATCAAAAGTTATGGTTAAATAATTAGACTCTCAAAAATGTGGGTTATTTTGACCGTGGAATCCATTACAGTGTAGGGAGCCGTTCGTCAGATTTTCCACTGCAGACCTTTTTTCTTTCGCTCGGACCAAATTTGTAGGGAGTCCACTGTCTAATACCTTAAACATTGGCGCGGATGCCGCTGAATCCACAAACTTTTAATTACACTTGCGAAGTGAGTGTATTAGTACGAACGTTCTTTTTTTCCAACCTAAGTTGCAAATATGGATGAGGCACCCCAATAATGATGGGAAACCTTTACAGCTTTTTGATAGCATGTGCTTTGAGATTCAAATATTAATAAGTTAACACAGTTGATGCATTTTTATATCATCAATTAAACCGAAAAAAGTGATTTGTTCCAAACCACATAACAATATTGAAAACTCGATTTCAGAAATTTTCTAATTAATATATCTCGCAATTTTTTTAATGCATGTTTTATACATAATGTGGTTTTTTGCTTTGCGATTTGTTAGATGCAAAGTTAGTGTGGATGCCTTCAGTTTGTTATATTCCAAATTATTACGTGCAGAATTGAGCCTGTTTGTGGTTACTGTAAATTTTGCTGAATCGCTTTCGCAAGTTATTAGCATATGTAGTTAAAGTAAATGTAAGTCATTTAACAACATTATTAGATACATAATTAAATTCTCCGGCAAGTGAAGTCCATTGCTCCGCAATTTTATAAGTTTGC